TTTACTTTCAAACTGCCTCCCACCATGCACAAAAAAAGTGACTAGACACCTGGTTTTTTTTTTTTTTTTTTTTGCCCATTGTCACAAGATTTCATTCTTTTTCATGATTTCCATTATACCAATTCTGCCTATAGCATCAGAGGCTCCTGGACACCCGGAAAGAGAGCTCTTTTCTGAGTGGGCTGACGTAAAGGGCTACAGGGGCCAAACTGAGAAGCTCTGGCATTGAAAGCAAAATAAAACATGTGACAGCCGATTGACCAAAAAAAAAAAAAAAAAACCCTCATTTCTGAAGCCAAATATTATACTTGGCCAAGAACACTGCTTGGGTGACCCTGGTCCCCCACCTGATCAGGGCCACTCCCTCATCTGTCCTCCTTCAAGGCCTCGCTGGGGTGTCCAGACAGGTCCCCCTAATGCGCTGGGTGTCCCCGGCCGATGGGCCACCTCAGCCTTCCCAGCGCTCCCCTGGCACCACAGGAATGCTTCACTACAGCCCCAGCACGGCCCACTCCTCCTAAATCTGCTAAGGCGAGCCTGAGCTCTGGCCTGGCTTCCCCGGGGCAGCTCCTCCCGCACCTCGGAGAAGGGGCCGGGGGATGGCTCGTGTGTAGGCCTCTTCATTCTATCAATTCAGAAAATATTCACGGAGCCCTAACTCTGGGCCACATTTGTCAGAGTTACAAAAACACCTTCTCTAGCCCGGAAGGGTGTTTGCTTGTGCGTGGCTTCACCAAGTCAGGCTGGACTCTCCCACAACCTACGGGCCACTCCCAGGTTCATCTGAGAATGGAATTTGGGGAGGAGTAGACACTGGTAAACCACAAATATTGGCCCAAATCGCCCTCTCGATGGCCTCTCCCTTAGCCCTTTGGGGACAGACCCTTCCTCTTCTGGGCTCTATTTTTCCTCACACTTCCATTTTGTGACCCAGCCGGCTAAGGCCAACTGGGCCTGGCCGAGGGAGGCCCCATCCGGCCCACGATCCCAAACCTGGCCATCATTCTAGCACTCGCAAGTGAAGCCCTGTGGCTTTTAAAAAGAAATCATGGAAGAAAACAAAATTAACTCCTGCAAGCTTAGCCTCCATTCAACAAAGAAAGCCAGACGTGCGCACTGAAATTGTTCAAGAACCATGGGTCAGGAGACTTCCTTTTTTCTTCTCTAAATCTCTGTCTCCAACTACACGTTTAGGGCCTGCCATTCCCGGACGCTCGAGCTCCACAGACTGTCCCAGCCCAGGGAACACTGGGCAGCTCTGAAAATAAATATTTCATATGAAAGATCCATTGTCTCTGCTTGGAGACAATTGTTGCTTTTTCTCTCTGCTCAGTTCTATAACATCAGAAACCATGACCAATGCCATTTAGAGCTCTCTCTTATTCCGACAAGATGTTTTCAGCAAGGACGATCTTGCTGGGTCTTCCTGAACGACCAGCTAGGAGGGAAAACTCCAAAGCAAGCATTTTGGTTAACGTACCAGGCCAAAGAACAATTAGCTCGTCAGAGTGGTAAAATCCTCCCACCAAATCACCATCTGCATTTCCAGCGAGGACGCTGGTGGCTGGTGTGGCCGCTCTGGGACCCTGCACCAGGACGTCCTACCCTGTTCTTTCCTGCCCCTGAAGTGAGTGGGAGGACAAAGGTCAGACCCAAGGCCAGCACCCAGGTGTGCTTTCCGTCCTGCCCCTGGGAAGGGGTGCCTCCTCCGTCAGCACTTCCCAGGTCCCCAAGGAGACCCTGGTCTCATCTTGTGTACCCAAGGTGAGGTGCAAGATGCATCTGGAAGCCACATTCACACCAAGTCCCTGTGATGAGGAAAGTGCGGGCTCTGTGAGCTCCTGCCTGTCCACCTGAGAGATACCATCAAGGTCCACTTTGCTCCCACTTGTGGGGTTGGGAGAGTAAACTTCTTGGTTCATTTTCTGGTGAGACTGAAGTTGGGTTATCTGTTACTCAGAATATAACATCATACAATATATAAAATAATAGTAGTGGTAAATAAAATAAATATTAAGCAAAAACAGTGATTATTGTTGACAACAATAAGTGACAATAGCAGTAGCCATTTATGTCCCGCCCCTCCCCGACAACGTGCCTGGAATGGTGCTTTATGGAAATAATGTCTGAGGTCTCTGAGGTGTGTTAACACTCTTCCCGCTTTAGAGCTCAGAATCCAGGCTCAGGGAGGAACTCAAATGTGCCACGGTCACCCAGGCAGAGGCAGGGGCAGACTGAAGCCCAGGGTGCTGACTCCAGCTTGCTGCGATTTCGGAAAAAGCATTCTCCTCTCTCCCCAAACGTGCAAAGAACCCTCAAAACCCAACACCCCAAGGAAGCACGGTGGCTTTATGGTGTTTCTTGCCTGGCCTGGAAGGACCCCTCCCTTCCTAGAGGCCACCCTTCAGCACAGGCATGCGTCTACACTGCACGAGAGGACATTGCACCGGACACGAGGCAGCACCTGCCCAGGCAGGGTGCCCATCTGGGTGATCTGGGTGGGCAGAGCTCTTCCCAGTTCCTCCTGGGCCACACGGTCTGCCTTCCAGTCACGCCCCATCCATGCTGGGCTGGGACAGGCTCCAGTGCCCTTTAAGGGGTCGGAGGGAGTGAGAAAGGTTCACACAGACAGCCTGACCCAGCCAGGTGCAAACCACATAAAAAGTAACCCTGCTGCAAAGCACCCATGCTGTTCCTGTGGAGCAAGGCAAACTGCTAGCCTGCACCTGCTCAGGCATGAGACCTCACCATGGCGGAGGGGCACTGCCCAAGTGGAGCCCAGCTCATCCCCACCAGCACCCTGGAGACCCTTCTCACCCAGGAGGGGCTGGAGCCTGGTGAGGCCCCAGCACAGGCGAGGGACTATCCTGGGGTAGGCCCTGGTTTAAAACAAAACCAGAAAAACCAGGGCCCATCCTTCCACCAGCCCACACCATAGTGCATGTGGCCCTCGCCCCCTGCTTTCCACATTCTTGATGTTAAATCCAGAAGTGATTTAAAAAACAGACAAGCGCCAGTTTCATTTTCAGAGCCTTCTCTTGTGTGTGTGTGCCCTAAAAAATGAATTGTGCCGGGATGGGAGATTCCACCACCACTGGGAAGCCCCTGGTGGGACCCTGAGACTCTGTCAGGCTAAGCTGGCTCGAAGGAACATGGACAAAGGCAGGACGGGGCCTCGCCAGGGCCTCTCTGCCCAGCGCTGGCCCCAACTGTTGGCTGCAGAATCTTGACCTCATCCCATTTCATGGGCCAGGGGCACACTGTGTGGCAGGAGACGGGGCTCTGGAGCTTTGACGAATAGCAGCCCTCACTCAGCGGCCCTGGAGACTGCCTCCTCTGACGCTCAGGCCTTTGCCTGGCTCGCCCTGGGTCTGGCCTGTCGAGCAGGGGAGCTGGATGCCGCTTGTTTCGGGATCTGTTTTAATCCAGAGGGACGCCCCGCAGCCTCAGCAGAGCACCACACCATTCCTGTCCTCCGTGCTATGTTCCGTCTGCTGTGGGCTCCGGGTAAACGTCTCCAGCATTTTATAGGCAAGGCCCCGGTGGAACTTGAGCTTCTTCTAATTACCAACCTCGTCACTGCCAACGCTATGCCAAGCAGAAGCTCCCGGCTATCATGGCATGCCTTCCGCAGCTGCACCCCGATTCTGAGATCGCCCCAGAATGTCCCACCCCAGGTTTCACATCTGCTAACTGCGTCTCATAAAGTCATAAATAAAAACTCAAAATGGGGCGACGGGGCAGCGGGGGAGGCAGCCCAACAAAAAAGACGGCCAAGGTTAGTTCCTCCAGCACAGAGGTAAACTTCCACCTCCGGCCGTGGCTGGCTGGACCCGACTGAAATGGTCCCCTCAGTCCGTGGGGTTCTTGGGGAGGGCACTAGGCAGCTGAGGGGAAGGGAGGCATGAGGTAAGTCTGGACTATCCAGGCCTCTGTCCATGTTCCCAGAAACACAGCCTCCAAGGGCCAGCTCATAGCCCTGGGGTGTTATGGAAATAGGCCCCCCATTATTTTGTGGTGAAAGCACCCAGCAAGGTTATCCAAACCACCTCAGTAAGGTGGGGAGGGCAGGGGGGAAATTGCACCTGTGGCACAATCATATTAAAAAGCAGGCTCAATCCCCCACTGTTTGGGGTTTCATTTTAACCCCAGCTCCGTACACACACGGACAAACATATTTTAAACCCCAAAGAGCTAGAACCAATGAACTAAAATAAAATGAAGCTATTGCTGGCCTGCAGGCTGCCTTGGCTTTTGAAACCCAACTATGAAAAAATTAATCTCCATGTTACCTTGAAACCCTATAATCATAGCAAGCAAGCATTCCTTCACCCCTTTCTTGCTCCTCACAAACTCCCCAGGGCCACTGGCTGGGCCTGTGTGTGAGGCACCTATAAAGGGGCATTTATTACAAAAAGTTATGAGTTGTTTTTCGTTTTACACCACTATAAACAGCAGCTTCCACACAAGGGCCTTTCACTGAACCGGCCCAAATGCCGCCAACGCCGAACCGAGGATCCCCGCTTAAATCAGCTCTCCCCAAGTGTCTGACCAGGAGGAAAAAATCAGCAGTGTGGGTTTAGAAATTAAATGGAATATTTCAATTTTCCAGGAAAGAAGTGTAGCTTGCCAATAACCTTTCCAAACACATCTAACCAAAAAATAAAAAAAATAAAAATAAATTCTAAAAACAGATGTTTTCTTTTTTCTTCCCATTGTGTTTAAGATGTCTGCTAACGCTTATTTTACGTGTTCAACAAGATTCTCTCTGGCAAATAGCCTGCACACCTGAGATTAGAAGCTGTGCTTCACAAATTCCAAGATCCAGATTAATGCCGAGTGGAGTTTTCGCAAGCTGGTGCGGCTTCAGGTTCAAGAGCAACCTCCTCGGTGCGTTCCCTGGTCTGTGGAAGGCCTGCCCTACGGAAGTGTCCCTCTTAGTGATCTCTTCATTAATATTTAAATACTCACTAAGTAGCGAAAGTGAGAAATGCACTTACCGTCCTCGGGAGTCGCAGTGAACCCGATCGTGACCTGGGGCGCACAGGTCGACAGCCCTGCCCTTGCGGGAGGACCGCGCCTGGCCGCCGCCGGCGCCGCGCTCGCGTGCCCAGAGCGGCACAGGCCCTCAGCTAGCGGTCTGAGTCCTGGGTTCCAAATGCTCACCCTCTTCACGCGTTGAAGCGGCGGACGACAGAGAGGGGCCAGTTCCCGCAACTCCGCAGGGTGGGACTGCTCTGGACCGCCGCTGGCGAAGCGCACGGCCCAGGCCCCACTTCCCCGGCCCCGCGCCGCGTCGGTCCTTGCCTTCGGGCTCCGGCTTCCCTGCGCTTAGCGACCCGACTGCGCCAGAGAGTGGCCCGCAGGACCCGGTCACGGCGTCCGCGCGCCGCAAGGGACCTTTGTCCCAGACGAAAACGAAAGCGCGCCGTCCCGGGGACGCCCACGCCCTGCCGCGGAGAGCCCGGCCGGCGCGCCCAGCGACTTTCTCCAAGTTCACGTGCATTCCGGGGCGGGCGTCGCGGGCCAGGACTTGCAGAGCCGGGCCGTCGGGCGGGCGGCGGGATGCAGGCAGGCTTGGGGACAGCCCCGCGGGGCGGGTCGGGGCACAATGGGCGCCACCGGGCAGGCGAGCGCGGGGACAGCGTGGGCCCGGCCGCCGCGCGGCCGCTCGTCTCGCGCTGCCGGGGCGCCGAATGCGGCGGCGGCTTGGCACAGACGCGCCGCGCGCCCGGTGCATGCTAATGGCCGGCGGCCGCGCCATGAATTATTCAGCAGCGGCGCGGAGAGGGCTAGCGCGGCGCGGAGGGCGACCCGGGCCGCGCATCCCCCGCCGCTGCGAAGCCGCCGCGGCGACTTCCCAAACTTTCCCGGGTCGGCACCGAGGATGCGGCCCCCGCGGCGGCGCCGTCCCCGCCCGAGCGCGCCGGCCGCGCTTCCCCCGTTGCCGCCTATTTTATGTCTTTTGTCTCGGAGTTGGCACCTGTCCCAGAGAGCGCGTTTCCCTGCCCACCCCTTCGCCGCCGGATCGGAGCGGGGGAGGGAGTACTGGGGACCCAGGGAGGAGGGGACGGGGAAAGCAAGGCGCCTGCGGGCCCCGCAGCCCGTGGAGACCGCCCGAGAGCGGCGGCCGTGCCCGCGCGCCCGGGCACCCCTGTTCTGAGGGGAGATCGGGGCTGCAACCGCGCCCGGAATACCAACGAGGCCGCCCGCGGCCCCCGCCGTGCCCGCTGCGGGTGAGGACCGGGCGCCGCCCCTCCTGGGTTCCCCCCTCCACCGCCCCCTACCCCGGGACGGCGCGCGCGGGCGGGGCAGGCGGCGCGAGCAGCGGATTCGCCGCCCGGGCCCCGCGCCTCGCCCCGCAGCCCCGCGTGCGCGTCCCCGCGGGCACGCCGCCCCGGGCGCTCCTCGCCAGCGCGTCCCCGCCCCGCAGCCCCTCCCGCCGCCCGCCCCGGGCAGGGGCACCGCGCCGCGGGGACCCAGCGGCTTTCCGTTTCGCGCCCCGGGGCCCGCGCGGCCAAGGCGGGCGGGCGCGAGCGCCCGGCCCGGCCCGCCCCTGCCGCCCTGGCACCGAGGCGGCTGCTGGGGCGCGCTCGGCGGCTGCGCTCCAAGGCGCCGGCTGCCATGATTGCGGGCAGCGGGACGCGCGCGCACGCTCGGGCCCGGCTCGGGGACCCGTGGCTGACCGACGGTCCCTGCAATCCCCGCAGCCTGGTGCCCGCAGCCCCGAGCGCGTCGCGGACAGCGGCCAGGCTCTCCGGGCTCGTCCCCGCGGGGAACAGTGTGCGCTGCGGACCTCTCGACGCAGCCCCGGGACAGCGCTCGGGGCCGACAGTGGCAGCGGGCTTCCCCCAGGGCGGAGTTCGCGCATGGGCGACCCCGCGGTGGCTTCCAGGACACTGCGGGCTCCTCGGAGCGAGGGGTGCCCAGAGGGGTGGGAGTCGGGACCCGGCACACGGGAGCCGGCCTGCGGAGGCAGGGGTCAGCGCACAGTGCCGGGAGATGTAAGAGGGGCGCGCAAGGTGCCTGGAGGAGTTGGGTTGGGGGGTTGTTCACGGTGCCCCGGGAGGCGTGGGATGGGCGGGGACGCGGTGCCCGGAGCCGCTGCCCAGCTCCGAGCGCGCTCTCTTCCTTCCCAGTGGAAACAACTTCCTGCTTCCCCGACTCAGGGCACAGGAGCTGTGGGGAGAAGTTCAAGGCCGCAGCTTTGCTCTCTCAGAGCCCGATGGCGACACTGCTGGCCCCGGGCCACACGATTCCTTCCCAGGCCCTCCGGGTGGTCGGGACCGGCTGGCCTCTAGGGTCCGGACACGGGTTAGAATGCCAAGGAGGCCGCGGCGTCTTTTCCCGCCCGCTCCACAGAGGCGCCCGAGTGGTTCCCAAACCGCAGAGGGGCCGGCCTGGGCCTCCGGCTCTCGGGGACGCACGCGGACACAGTCACTATTCGGACACAGAGTCACTATTCGCAGACCCGGTCCCCCTGCCCTAGCATGCCCTGGCTCAGAGCCGCATGGAGCTGGCTGTCCCCAGACGCCTGCGACGGCCCGTTGGCGGCCAGGGCCCGAGAGAAACAAGGCCTCCCGGGTCCCATCCCAAAGTCTCTCTGTGCTTGTCTCCCCCCAACCCCCCGCCGCCGGCCTTGGCATTCTAACCAGTGTCCCTTGACGTCACATCTCGCCATTTCTGCCAACCAATTGAAACTTGCCCGTTGTCATAAAAATATATATACTTTTTATGCCATTGGTAAATTCAAAAGTTCCTCGTGTGCCCTGCTTCCCAGGAAACTTCATTTCACGTTGGATTAGACTGCCCAGGAGGGCAACGCTGGGCTGGGGCAGCCAGGCAACTCTGCCAGGGCCTCGCTGCCCACTGAGCTGCCTTCCACAGCTCGCTAGACCCCCATGATTGTGGCTGTGAATTGTGCCAGCCACCCTGATAGACACACCACTGCCTCCACCCCATGACACAGAAAATTTGGGGGGAGGGAAGGAAGAACTCAGGGTATGTTAAGAAACCTTCCCAGTTGCTTTCCTGGGAGTTGGGGCGGTGGGGACTGGAATCTTAGCATAGCATCTTCTTTCTAGAAGCTGAAGGAATTCTAGGGATAGGTTTATTTATTTTTTGCTATGGGAAAACTCAGTTTTAGAAAATGGAGTAGAAATGTTTTCCAATTAATCTTTTCATTGGAATCCGGACCGACTTTCCCTTTCCACAGCTGCCTGGTGGCTTCACCATCGCGTGGGTCGCCCTCTTTTCCTGAGGAAGGTCTTGTGTCTCCCCCTCACCCCCCAGCTCCAAGGGCTGTGGGGCCCAGAACTGGACGCTCAGGAGCTCTGTGCTTCCCCAGAAAAGGGCACTGCTCTCTCCGCAGCCTGAGTCTCAGACATGCAGTGTCTACCTTCTAGCAATACAGCAGGGGAAATCAATCCTGTCTAGCACTGTGCTTTATAATTTTCTTTCTTCACTATTAAAAATTTCAGCCCCAGATAGGAAGTGTGGGGTAAAAGCACACATTCCCACAGGATGAGTCTGTGCCCAGCAGCGCCCAAAGCTCCACATATGCCCCTGTAGCCCCTCCTAACCCGGCCACACCAAGGCAGAACTCAACCACTAACTGCTCTATAAACTCCTCCTGTACCCCATCGTTACTGTATGGTTCAACTACTTTAAAAAACATACTACAGATATTTTGTGGTTTAGCAAGTTTAGGGACTCCAGAAGAACAAAAATGCTTTAGAAACTGAGATGAATGCAGAGATCTAAACATCATAAGCACCAGGCCTTTTAATATGGAATCTTGTTTTTCCAAAATAATGAGCACACCCGGTAACGACCAAATGGGGATTCTGAACATAAATATATGGTTACTATTCTCAATAAAACTGTTCTCAAGGGCAATCTCTAGAAATGATGCATACCTCGGAGATACACGTTCAAGGGAAAAAAGGAAAAAAAAGACCGCATCCAACAACCACACTATAATCTATTTATAATCACGTTCCTAAACACTATAAATATTATAACTAATGTGATATATGTTTTGTGATTAAATGGGTGGATTAAAACATTGAATTTAAAAAGCCACAAAGAAAAAGAGATTATCTTCTATTATGCCACTTACAACTTTTGTTCCATTGGCACAAATACAGATTTGACAACTATATCATTACTGAACGCAGTGACTAAATGCCAGGATATTAGCTTTGTAATTTTCACCTGAAATCATTGTATAATCATACTGGCTTGCTAACCTTCTTTTTATTAACTGATTTTTTTTTTCTTGCTCTCACACCGTAATAAGTTAATTTAATGCCTTTTTTCCACTTACAGTTTTTATTTGGTAAAGCAAGAAATCAGATAAGTCAGAACAATATTCAAGAACACACACTTTTTAAAAAAAATTTCCCCCTGTACTTGGCAAGGATTTACATATAATTTGGTTGCAAATGCAGAAATCAAATGCTGCTTTATTCAGCAAAAATCATAGCACTCAGGTAATTCCACTGGGTAATATTCAGGTTAGCTTGTTTTTGTCTATTTGGTATCATATTATTCAAAGTAAATAATATTTTTTAAAGTATGCTCAAATTATCAACAAGAAAACCTGGAAAATTTACATTGTCGTTGAGCACTATGATGGACAAGTTTCCAGGAAGAAAAACTTGGTTTTTGCCTGTGGGCCACAGCCATGCCTGAGGTCAGATGTTTGAAAATAAGCTCTAGGAAGGCTGTTGCTGTACTAGAATGTTTACAGTATCAGCTTTATACAGTTATTTTTTTCCTGATTTCTCCCCAGATCTGCCTAATGGGAATGGAGCCGGCAACTTCCTGCTGCCTTGCTTTCTCCGCCAGCCCCTAGCCCACAGTCCAGCCTCAGAAGGCTGAGGGGGGTGCTTCGGTTTAGTTTCTTTTTTCTCAACGGATCGACATTTAATAGTTTAAATTTTTCAGTATCCAAGATGTTAGGAGGACTTAGTAAACAGATGCATTTAATCTAATTAAAGAAAGGACAACGAGTGTGAGTGAAAAATTACATTTTCACTCGGGTTCTGAACACTTACTTGCACATTCAAGAATAATTATGTTTTTAAAGCCAGACCAATAAACTTGAGATTGCAAGTTTTCCGTGGCTCCTGGATAAGATGCCACTTCGATCATCCTAGACAATGTGCCTTTTGAGGAGTTGCTCAGCAGCTTTGGGGACTCTGGATAAAGGCAAACCAGGCTTATAATTTTTTTTTTCTTTTGCCTTTGTTTCAAAGTAGTTTGCAGGTTTGAGAGTCCATTTTGATAGGCCTGTTTCATAATAACATACGCTCTTACTGCATGATGGGTTTATTTTCACTCTCAGTTATTTATACGCAACCTCTAAGCATCAATCCGCCTTGGACAAACATGCGTTTATGATTTTCATAGAAATAAAACAGCAAAAGATAATTCAAAGTCAATAGGGTCTCAGGCTGGACAAGGAAATGTGAGCAGGCACCCGTGAAAAGGGTTCTTTCCTTCTGACATGATGAAGCATTTTTCAAAATCTTTTGCTTTATTTCACTGTTTTCTGTCAAACTTGGCATTTGTTTACCAGCAACAATAATGAAACTCTGACCAGGGAACAAGCCTGTTTAAGGACAAAAGCATACGCCGGACACTGCACTAGCGCACCCCACCCCAAAACAGCAAACAAAAAAAGCCCAGCATGCTGGCACCATTTTTTTCTATCTTCTTTCCTTTCCTTTTCAATGTAAAGAACATACTTAAGTGTGCCTGCGACTGTGAGTCATGCACATCGTGCTTTGATGGTGCCAGCTCCACACGCGTGCAATCACATGTCTGGTTCTTAACCTGTGTAAGCAGCGCTTTGCCGCCTTTAACGTGCCTTGGAAGTCTCCACATTCATGTTTCATGTTGCGGCACCTGCGTATGTATCTCAAAAAGAAGTCTAACGACCCCAAAAGCATTCTTAAAGGGTTAATTATTACTTTTCAATTAAAAGGACCGCATAAAACAACTAGAAGTCTACGACAGGCGTGTGTTCAATCATATAAGAATATATTGTACATAATATTAATAAACACATGCTAGTATGAAAAAATTTCCCCTTAGGAATGAGGAATTACGATTCATGTTTTCCATTCCAAAGAAGTAACAACAAAAATCTGAAAATATGTATTAAGGATGACGGGCCAGTATCTCTGATTATATATGCATCTATCAAATGCCAAAGCTAGATTCTTGACTTTAAATGAGGAATGAGAAAAGGCACCAAACTAACTTTTTTAAAAATAAAAATTACCATTCAAGAAGTGAGTGCTGAATTAATTTTAGTCGATCACGTCTATAATTTCTAAAATTGAATAATCAGAAATTGGGAAATTAACATTTTTCTAAAAAGTTTATGTGCTACTTATAATTTTATCGTACAGATCTTCAGTGGGCTAGGTAAATTCCTCTAGAATAAACAGAAAAAAAAATAAAGGAGAATAAAACTGATTTTGAAGTCAAATGGTTGGTTATTAAGTTGCAGGAATTTTTACTAAAATCAAGATTTCACAGATTACTTCTTTAAAATTACTACAACAAACTTAAGCTGCCCACAAATGGAACTCATACTGAAATTGGGATTTGGTTTTGGGGGACTGTCAATTACAAGTTGTTTGGAATTTGACCACACTGGTCTTATTTATTGAGAGACTCCCATTTTATTTTTTAAAAAATCAAATGTGACTTCACACAACACAGGTGACTAATTTATATATAAAAACAGTTTCATTTTCCTGACTATTTCCAAGTATCTAGCTTTTAGATCTGGCTAACTTCAAGGTTAAGGTCAGATTTTTCATAGGAACCCTTTCTACAGAAAGAAAAGAAGTGTTTTAACTAAACTTATCACTATAAGACAATATTTAATTGCTGCCAAAAAAAAAAAAAAAAAAAGCCAAAGAACAAAACCAATGCTTTTTTGTTTCTTGTTATTTTATAGAGCAACTTTTGGTATAGTTCCTAATTTTCAAAGAACATGGAAGTTCATTTTTTTAACTCCCAAAAAAGTGGTAATGTAAGCAACCAGACAAGAAGGGACACTGACCTTGAAAATAAACATCTATATAATATTTACATGATGAACATATATTTTTAAAATTGATTTCAAAGTAATCTGAGATGTGGATAGGTATTTTCACTCCTATTTTGCTTGGTTTTCGATGATGCACAGAGGCAGGGGTTTTTGAATATCATCAAAGGTTTGTACCTTTGCTAATATCTTATCCATCCATTTTTCAACTCTGCATTCCAAATATACTGCAAGATGCTGCTTCCCAAGCGCTCCTTGCCCGCTGACGTTCTGTCTGAGAGGAGGCAGCGGACCCAGAACCACACGCTCCTTCCCTCACTCTCTTGACTTCTCCAAAACTGGACGTCTCTCACACATAGAATGCCGCAAATTTATAGAAGGACTCCAAGGCTCCCTGAGAAACTTCTCGAGTTGGGAAAAACCTTGTCAACGCACACCTGGACCTACAGATTCGGAAAAAGTAACCGGCTGTAGCCAAAAACCAAACACTCAACCACCGAACACAGTCTGCAAGAAACACA